ATCGCTCAGCGCGAGGATTCGAGCCGCTGCACGCCCTCGGCGGCGGTCGGGCAGAGCTGCGGGCGCCAGGCGGGGGCCAGCGGCCTGTCGGCCAAGCAGCGGGTCGGAAACCTGGGCCACGACCTCTGCGGGCGCCGCAAAGATCGGCGTCAGGCGGCTGGCCGATCGCCTCCAGGCGCTGGACGCTCGTCGGGGGCGCCCGCTGCTGTTCAAGAAGACGGTCGGCAGGAGAGTGGCGCGCTTGTGAACGACGGGCCCACTCCCAGGCGCTGCCCGGGGAGCCAGGGCGTCGGGCATCACCGACTCCACGTTGGGCCAGCTGCGTCGCGAGGCGGGGTTCCTGGTCGGCTCCGGGCCTGGGCCCTCTGGCGCGACGACCAATCTGGCCGCGCAGCGGGCCAAGGAGCACGGCGCGATCTGCTCGGCAACCTGCGACCTGCTCGCGCGGTGCGCTAGCTGGATCTGGGAGCAGCGGGCGCCGCTCGGCGGCCTGCACCACGCGGCGGTCGTCACGGACGGGGAGTGCCTCCTCCACCTGCAGGTGATCGGCCCAGCGGACGTTCGGTGCCTGCCACCAGATCCTCAAGCACTACCAGCGCTGGCAGCACCCGAACGGGGGCGTCGAGCGCTGGCAGGGCCGCCAGATCCTCAAGCACCACCAGCACCCGAACGGGGGCACGGCCCAACCATGGATCCGCATGCTGCATCCCTGCGCGGGCGGGCCCCGAGCCGCTGCTCCACAAGGTTCTGCGGCCACCAGCCTGCGCATGCACTGGTCGGGGCTGCCGTGGACGAGGCGGGCGATGCTCGACGTCGGCCTGGCCGCCTCGCCTGCCTGCTGGGCTGGTGGTCGCGCCTCCGACACGCCTGGCCACCGTTTCGTCGGGTGTGACGAGCTCCTGGAGCCTGCGCAGCTGGGTGAGGAGAGCGGAAATGGGACGCATATATAGAGACATACTAATACTATATGTCCTCCTTGGAGGCGCGCGTCCGACCCGAACATACAGCATACCCATCTTGTAGTACATCGTTTCCCGAGCGGAGTGGCCAGAAGGCGCCCGCCACGACGAATGTACAATACGATTTCTCGGTGCGCGCGTCGCCCCCGTGGGGGGCGACGACCATATAGAAGTATGTTGGGGCGACGCCGAGGAGAGGTCCTGCCCGAGCGCCACCAAGACATCTGGGCCTGCGTGAGGGGCAGGGGCCTCCAGGCGGTCGGCGGGGTGCTCTGCTGGGGCGACTTCGAGCTCTCCGTCTGCACCAGGGCTGAACCTAAACGGTATGTTTCGTTTTCGTTTTGTTTTCGTTTTCCCTTGTCTGCAGTCCGCCTTCAACGCAAAACGAGATCGGAACGAAAACGGCCCACGAGATCGCCAAAACACCGTTGAGGTCCACCCCTGGCCTGCGCCCCGTGCCTGCCGCCACGGGCCCGGCCGGCCAGCAGGGCGGCGCCTGATGGTTGCTGGGGCGACCGGGGGGCACCCCATGCCCCGAGGGCGCTGCGCGGCGGCGTGCTCTCCGTGGACGGGCCGGGCTTCGCGGCCAGCTCCCACTGGGGAGACCCAGGAGGTGCCGATGCCGCTGCTCCCTGGGAGCTCTCCTGGGGGGCGTTCCGACCCGAACCTCGAGGCGAGTGCAGCGGTGGCGACGAGGGCCTCCCAGGAGGCCCCAAAAAGGGAGGACACGGTCGAAGGCTAGCGGTAGGGGTACCTCTCCCTCCTCCGCTCTTCACGACCCGCGACGAGGCGGAGGGGCGTTCGTCCAGCTGTCGCCGCAGGGGCTGCCCCAGCCGTGCCGCGCTCGGGGCCCCTCCCGAAGCCGCTGCAGGACCGCTGGCCGGGCGGAGCGGCACCCGTTGCCGCAGGCGCTGCGGCCCTCCTGGGCGACGCGGTGGGCTCCGTGGCTGCGGGCGGGCGGGGGCCCTCGAGCACGAGGCGCGCAGCGGGGACGCCTCGCTCGAGCAGGCCCGCGCCGCCCACGCCACCGTCTGGCGACGGCTCCGCGCACCACCTAACGGGCGAAGAACGGTGTAAGATAAACTTTTTCGCTGTCGGGGGCGCCTGTCCCTGGGCGACTCAAGTGTATACCCTTAGGGTGGCACCGTAGGGGTACAAACTTTCCAGCCGCCCAGGGGCAGGTGTCCCCGACGGCGGAAAGTTTATTTTATATATCTTATACCGTTCTTCGCTCGCTGAACCACCGCATCGCCCCGAGGTCGCGTGGGTGCCGGCGCATGGGGAGCTGGCCGGCTGCCTGCGGCGTGGGCTATATCTAGCCCGGCACCGCATCCTGGCAGCATGTGGGCGGACCGGCTCGCCAAGCAAGGCGCCATGGACCACACTCTGTCGGAGGTCTACGGTGAAGTCGGGCGTGTCCCCCTACAGGCGGATTTTGGACGAAAAATGGAAAATACCCCAAAAATATCCAAAATTTGTCAAAAAATACTTGAACAATCGTCCCCTGGCTATTTTTGACAATTTTTGAATATTCCCCCTGTAGAGGGACAGGCCCGACTTAAATCTACGGGGACTTCTGCAAGGCTGAGGTCCTGTACCACAAGAGGAGGTTGCGGCCCGCGTCGGGTGGGCCATGCAGCGCAGGCTGAAGATCGTGAAGTGGGAGCCCGCCGACAACTTCGTCCCGTGCAAGGAGCCTACGAAGCCTCCTGCAGTGGCGATCGTGCGCCATCAGAAGCTGATGCTGGGAAGGCACCCCAAGACGGCAAGACGGGGGACATGGAACGCACAAGGGCATACTGGTACCACGTGTCCTCCTTGGAGGCGTGCATCCGACACGAACAGACAGTACAACCACGTTGTAGTACATCGTTTCCCGAGCGGCATGGCCAGAAAGCGCCCGCAGCAGAGCTTATGCTATGAGATTTCTCGGCGCGCGCGTCGCGCCTTTGGGGGCGACGCGCACATAATATACTTAGTATGTTGGGGTGACGCCGAGGACACTTTGTCGTGAAGCGCGTCGGCCAGCTGACGGCAGTGCGCGGAGGGCACCTCTGCCACGACCGCGGCCAGGGTGGCGGCCGCGGGGAAGCACGCCCGCGAGGGCGGGATGCAGCATGGGGTACGCTGGTGTATCACTCGCATGGGTGCCAAGCCGGTGTAAGTTGCCTCGTCGAATGGCCTTCTGGTGTGCGAGGAGGGCTGGATACTCGCGTGCTGCCTGCAGGTCTGTCGAGGCGGGCACAAGGTCCGTGTCCCCGCCTCTCGTCTGCCGCCGACGTCCTGCTCGCCGCCCTGAGCTCGGTGTCTGACCTGGAGCTCCAGGACGCCTCCTCGGCCGTCGTCTGAGGGTCCCACCGCGCGCTGCTCGGTCGACGGGCGGCGTCGCGAGGCCGCATTGCCCGTTCCTCTTCCCCCCCTCCCTACCTCCTCCCCCGCTCCTCCCCCCCCTCCTGCCACCCCCCCCAACACTCCTCCCTGTCCTCCCTCCCTCGCCTTCCCTCGTCCATCCATCCCCCCTTCCTCCCTCCGTCTCCCCATGCTCCCTCCCCCTCCCCCCGTCCCTCCTTCCCTCCTCCCTCCGCTCCTCCCTCCATCTCCCCCTTCCCTCTCTCCTCCATCCTCTCGCCAGCCGCCCGCCCTCCTCGCCCTCCCCCCTCTGCCTGCTCCCTCCTCCCGCCCACCGCACCTGGGCTGACCAAAAAGGCACCGAGACCGCCACCCCCCGGACCTCTCACGAGGTGTGCTCTGCCCGGCATGTCGGGGAGAACCCCGCCGTGGCGGCGAGAGCTCACCGGGATGCGCAGCGGCATCCGCCGACCCCCCACCCTTGCCACCTCCCCTTTCCCCCCCCCTCCCCAGGACCTCCCCTTTCCCCCACCGTTGCCACCTCCCCTTTCCCCCCCCCTCCCCTTGCCACCCCCCACCCTTGCCACCTCCCCTTTCCTCCCCTTTCCCCTTCCCCTTCCCTTGCCTCCTCCCCTTTCCCCTGACCCCCCACCCTTGCCACCTCCCCGAACTCGCATCAGAGGGGGGCGGACCCTGGGAGGGGTCCGGCAGGGGGGGTCCGGCGCGGGGGGGGGGCGCATCACAGGGGGGCGGGCCCTGGGGCGGGCCCTGGGGGAGCTCCCGAGCACATCCCCGGCGCCTCCGGCACCTCTGCAGGGCCCCAAGACAGCCCAACAAGACCCAAACAAGGCGCCAAGACACCCCTGAATAAAATCGCGATGGCCGAAAGTAGCCCCACGACAGTCCCAGATGGCTTCGTGACGGCCCACGTGGCCACCACGACAGGCCCAAAAGTGCTCCCAGAGGACCGCCGAGAGAATCCAGGTGGCAAAGAACGTCCCGCAGCCTTGTGAAAACGCATACTTCTAGCGCACTCACCATTGTCGTCTCCACAGCGTTCAAGGCAGCCCAAGGTGTCCCCAAGATCGTCCCAAGAAGGCCGATGAGGCCCCCAAGAGGGCTCCAAGACAGCCCAAGAGGCGTCCACCAAGACGACCCTAAGACGGCGCCGAGAGCCCTCTAGATGGCCCAAGTGAGCCCCAGGAGCACTTCACCAGGGGCACTGGTGGGGGATTACGAGCTGACCTTCCGAGCCCTTCCCCCTACGATAGACCCATGAGCCCCTCAGGACCACCAAAAAGCCCCCAGGAAGCCCTTTGGGAGCCCCATGATGCCCTTAGGAGCCTTGGAAAAGGCTCGAACGAGTCCTTCCCGAGGCGCCCCTAAAAAGCCCAAAGAAGCCACCGAGAGGCCCCAAGGCCTCCAAGAGGTCCCCAAAAGCCTCCAAGAGAAGCCCCCCCGGATGCCTCCACCAGTCCTCCAAAGGCCCCCCGCAGGCATCCCAAGAGACCCTCATGTGCATCCAAGAGGTTTTGGGCCACAGCCAACTTGGCCCGAAAGCCACAGCATAACTCCCACGATCGTTGCAAGCTCTCACTCCTTCTGGGGGTCGGCGGAACGGCGTGAGAACAAAGTATGGGTACCTCTTTGTTCCTCTGAGCACCCCTCCTCCTCCCTCCCTCTCATTCCCCCCTACCTCGAGTCGCCGTTTGCGAAGGAGAGCTCGAGGCCAGGGAAGCGCGCCCGCAACTGGCACAGCACCGCCACACAGGAGGTGCAGGGAGTGCTGTTCGAGAAGAGCTGCACGCGCCCCGACAGCGGCCCCGCAGGCGCCGCGTCCAGCACAAGGCCGATGCCGGTGGCGAGCTGGAACTCGCCGCAGAGGTCGCGACCGATCATGCTGTTGATGGGGGTCGGGAACGACCGCAGCCACGCGGGGGGCTGCACGTGACCCACCTGGGGGGCGGGTAACGATAGGGGGGACTGGCTCGGGGGGGGGGGAGGAGCATCGAGCTGGGATCGGCGATGCATCGCTGAGAGATCGCAGATAGGCCTCCGCCAGCGAATCTGCACGTTCCTGGGCGGGGTGGGGCTATCGGATCCCTCACCGGCGATCCGATGGGCGGCTCGGGGTCGACGCATTCCTCCCTGAGCCTATCCCCCCCTGGGCATCCCCTGACCACAGGAAGAGAGGCTCCGAGGAATGCATCGAGGAGGTCTCCCTCCTCGTCCGCCTCCTCCTCCTCACCTCCTCCTCCTCCCTGCCTCCTCCTCCTCCTCCTCCTCCTCTCCTCCTCCTCCTCCTCCTCCTCTCCTCCCTCCTCCCTCCCTCCCTCCCTCCTCCTCCTCCTCCTCCTCCTCCTCCTCCCTCCTCCTCCACCTCCTCCTCCTTCCTCCTCCTCCTTCCTCCTCCTCCTCCTCCTCCTCCTCCTCCCTCCTCCTCCTCCTCCTCCTCCTCCTCCTCCTCCTCCTCCTCCTCCTCCTCCTCCTCCTCCATTCCTTCTGCTTATAGATAACTCCTCCCTGTCGCACCCCGAAACCAGTTTTTAGGGCGGGCTGGGCGTTTCGCCTGAGACTTCCTCACCATTTATGACTCTGAAGGCTTCACAGATGGAGGACGGGTGGTTTCCAAAATTTGGTTCTCGCCTTAGCGCCGCGCGCGTTCGTTTTAAACATTTGCAGGGGCTTCACGGATTGAGGGTGGGTCGTTTTCAACATGTGGCTCTCGCCTTAGCGCCGCGCACATTCGTATAAAGAAGTTGCAAGAGTTTCAAGGATTGAGGGCGGGTCGTTTTCGAAATGTGGTTCTCGCCTTAGTGCTGCGCACGTTCGTGTTAAAAAGTTGCAAGAGCTTCACAAGTTGAAGGCGGATCGTTTTCAAAATGTGGCTCTCGCCTTAGCGCCGCGCACATTCGTTTTCAACATTTGCAAGACTTTCGCGGATTGAAGGCGGGTCGTTTTCAAAATGTGGCTCTCGCCTTAGCGCCGCGCACGTTCGTTTTAAACACTTGCAAGAGTTTCACGGACTCCCATGATCAACGTAGCAGAAATGGTGCTTTAGAAGGATTCAGGATTATGCGGGTGCAACAGTTGTTGATTCGCGGTGTTGAAGTCCCCAAAAAAACGGTCTGGCACGAATCCAGATCGTCAAGACGCAGCAGTCAGGGTGATACGTGGCGTTGAAATCTCGAGAACAATGGTTTGGCATGCTTCAGGATATTCAAACAGTTATCTTCCAACGAGGCAGTTCCCTCAGTGGACATGAACCGTTGTGGGGGCCTATGAAGAGAGAGCTTGGAGGGAGGCATAATTCCAACATCGTTGAGGACTCTTGGTTTTACACTAGTCCTCCTCCTCCTCCTCCTCCTCCTCCTCCTCCTCCTCCTCATTCTCCTCCTTCTCCCCCTCCCCCTCCCCCTCCCCCATCCCCTTCCCCCTCCCCTCCCCCTCCCCCTCCCCCTCCCCCTCCTCCTCCTCCTCCTCCCTCCTCCTCCTCCTCCTCCTCCTCCTCCTCCTCCTTCTCCTCCCCCTCCCCCTCCCCCTCCTCCTCCTCCTCCCCCCCCGAGAGGAGGAAAAAGCACTTTGCACATACAGCGATCCTGGCCGGGCCCGTCCTGGCTTTGCCGAGGAGGCACGAAAGACTGATCCTGGGACCAGGAGGACCTCCTGGCCAGGATCTGCGCACGTGCACACCCTTAGGTCGGGCACGTCCTCCTACAGGCGGATTTTGGAAGAACAATGCAAAATAGCCAAAAGAAATCAAAAATGATCAAAAATAGTCGAAAGATTTTCCCCAGACTATTTTTTGTCTCGACTATGTTTGAGTAGTCATTCCTCCTGTCCTGCAGAGGAACATGCCCGATTTCAGCGTACGTCCCTTCGCCCGGCCACGCGGATCCCGTTCTCCCGGAGCAGGGCGCCCCGGAGGGGCTCGCCGGTGGACAGGACCACGTCCCACTCGGCGTAGCAGAGCACGCGCTTGTGGGCCAGGCCAAAGGTGTCGGTGCGGCTGTTGCCCTCCGCGTGGGTCTGGGCTATCCTGTGCAGGGCCCGCTCCACGAAGGCCGCCGGGGGCTCGCGGATGCCGAGGCGGGACAGCAGCGCCCGGGTGCCCGCCACCCCGAAGTTGTCCACGCCGGCCCTCCGCAGCGTCTCCGGGAAGCTGCCCCCGCGCCAGCCCGCCAGCGAGGTCGGCATGCCGGCCACGAACTCGTCGAGCACGGGCGAGAGGCGGAGCTCCAGCTGGGCGGCGCACTCCGGCACCGAGTCTGCGAGGTTGGCCAGCGCCTGGGCGTCGAAGAGGTCCAGGCGCCGGCGCACCTCCGCCGCGAGGGCGGCCAGGAGCGTCCGGTCCGCACCGTCCAGCTTCGCAAACGCCCAGGCCGTGTTCGAGAGCTCCTGGCGCTCGAACTCGGCCAGCTTCGCGACGGCCTCCGCAGAGATGGCGTCCAGTAGCGTCCCGTGGCGAAACGCGAGCGTGGCGCAGGACCACACCGTGTTGGCAACGTCCTGGGTCACGAACTCGTGAATCATAGGCAGGGCAGACCCCGACAGCGCGGTGAGGAAGCGCTCGTCCACCAAGTTAATCTTTGCGCAAGACCACGCCATGTTCGCAATCTCCTGCGGGATCAGCTCCGACCGATTCAGGAGCACAGCCTCCGATAGCGCGTCCATCAAGGGCTTATTCCGGAAGCCCAGCGGCGCGAACGCCCAGGCAGTGTTCGTTAAATTCTGCATCACAAAATCGCCAAGCCGCGCCATCGCAGAGGCCGCTACAGCGTCACAAAGAGGCTTGTCCACAGCCATTAGCCTCGCGTAAGCCCACACTGTGTTCGCCAGCTCCTGCGCATCAAACGTGTGCAGCTTCGCAAGGGCCTCCGCGGAGATTTCATCGAGTAGCCTCCCAGGCTGCACCACCAAGGTGCCAAACGACCACGCCAGGTTCGCCAAGCACTGCGCGTCACACTCGGCAATGTTGTCCATGGCCACGTTGGCGATGGTCTGCATGAGTGGCAGGTCCTCCACCGCCAGCTTGGCGAACGCCCAGGCGGTGCTCGAGAGCTCCTTCGGGATCGCCTCTGGCAGCCGCACATGCGCCGCTGAGGAGATGGCCTCGAGCAGCCGGACGTCCCTGAAGAGCAGCCTCGCCAGGGCCCACGCCGTGTTGGCCAGATTCTGCGGCGCGAAGGAGCCGATCACGGTGATCGCCTTGGCGGAGATCGCACGCAGCAGCTGCTCGTTGTAGTAGACGCACTTCGCGCACGACCACGCCGTGGCAGAAAGGGCCTGCGGGTAGTACGCGTCTATCTTGCTCAGCGACTGGGCGGCAATCGCCTCTATGAGAGGCGCATGCTCGTAAGACAGCGCTGCGAATGCCCAGAAAGTGTTGGTCAAGTTCAGGACGAGAAACGTGCGCAGACAGCGCATAGCCGATGAACTGATTGCCAACAGCATCTGCTCGTCCTTGATGCGCTGCACCGCGAGAGCCCACGACGTGTTTGAAATCTCCTGTGCGCCGAACTCGGGGATTAGAACTAGAGCACGCGACGATATTCGATCCAGTGTCGCCCTGTCTCGAATGCGCCACCGTGCCTTCGGGCACGGAGTGGGCGTGTCCTCAGGTCCCTTGTTGTAGGCTTCAGTCCCCTGGAGTAAAGATTATGAAGGGACCCGGACCCCAGAGGGCCAAATCTCTTGCGGTCTGGGGCGGCTTGTCGCATTACTCTGTCGGGCCCTAGAGGGCCCCCAGACGGGCCAAGAGAGCCCCAAGAGGCCCCCAAGAAGGTCCGAGAGGGCCCCAAGTCTCCGAACAATGGGTCCAAGACGCCCAAGATGGTCTCCAGACGGCCCAAGAAGCACCCTTGACGCACCAAGAGGCCCCCAAGAGGCCCCCAAGAGGCAAAATGCTATGTTTTTACGCTAGTTGTTGCAGGTTGGCGGTCTCGCCTTTTCGGCTTTCCGACTTTCGAAGACGGCCCAAGAGGCTCCAAAGATCGCCCCAAGACGGCCCAAGGGGCCCCCAAGACGGCTCCAACAGGGGGCACAGACGGTGTGCCCGAACGGACATTTCGAGCCCTCGGCCCCGAGAAGCCCCCAGGAGGCCCCAAGAGGCCCACAAGAGGCCCACCAGAGGCCCCCAAGAGGCCCCCAGAGAGCCCAAAGAGGCCCCCAAGAGGCTCCCAAGAGGTCCCCAAGAGACCCCCAAGTAGCCCCCAAACTTCCCCCAAGAGGCCGCCGAGAACGCTCCGAACAGACCCCAAGAAGCATCCCTGAGGACTTTGACCCACAATGCAGGAACGGTGGCGGGATGGGCCGAAGGCTATTAGATCCGCCGCCCCCTGTTGCTTGCAAGAAGGGGTGCCTGGCGTGCCAAATCCTATCGTTTTTGGTTTTGGTTCTTTTCCACCCCCTGGGGCTCCGGCGCGCCCCGCCGGCTACCCGGAAAGGACCTCAATCCAGAAAAAAAATCCTCCAAGACAGCTCAAGATGGCCTCCAAGATGGCCACGTTGGCCCAAGACGGCCTTCAAGATGGTCCAAGATGGCCTCCAAGTCCGCCCAAGATGGTCCAAGACGGCCTCATGACTGTCCAAGAGAGTCCAAGATATCTCCAAGTTCGCCCAGGAAGCCTCCAAGACGGCCCAATACGACCCAAGAGACCTCCAAGAGGTCCTCCGGAAGGGTGCGAAGAGACCAAATCCATTGATTTCTCATGGTTTTTGAAAGATGTTGACATTTGCTTCTTTTCGGCCTTCCGACCGATCAAGACAGCCCAAGAGGCCTCCAAGGACGGCCCAAGATCGCCCAAGAGGCCTTCAAGAGGGCCCCAGAACGGCCCAAGAGGTCCCCAAGACGGCCCCAAGCGGGCCCCAAGACGGCCCAAGAGGCCTCCAAGACGCCCAAGATGGCCTCTAAGACAGCCCTGGAGCACCCCAAGAGGGCCACAGGTCGGCCCAGAGAGGCCCCCAAGACGGCTTCCGACGGCGTCAGACGGGCCAGGAGCCCAGCAAGATGGCCGAAGTTGCTTCGAAGCTGGCCCAAGACGGCCCAAGAGGCCTCCAAAAGGGCATCCAGGAGAGGCCAAAATCATTGATTTTCTGTCGGCTTTTGAAAGATGTTGACATTTGCTTCTTCTCGGCCTTCCGACGGCCCGAGACGGCCCCAGAACCCCCAAAGATCGCCCCAAGATCGCCCAAAAGGCCTCCAGGATGGCCCCAGAACGGCCCAAGAGGCCCCCAAGACGGCCTCAGAGGGCCCCAGGACGGCCCAAGAGGCCTCCAAGACGCCCAAGATGGCCTCTAAGACAGCCCTGGAGCACCCCAAGAGGGCCCCAAGTCGGCCCAGAGAGGCCCCCCAAACGGCTTCCGACGGCGTCAGACGGGCCAGGAGCCCACCAAGACGGCCCAAGAGGCCCCCAAGAGGCCGCCAGTACGGCCCAAGAGGCCTCCAAGAGGTCCTCCAGGAAGCCCCGAAGAGGCAAAAATAATTGATGTCCCATAGGTATTTGAAGGATTGCGGCATTTGTTGTTTTTCGGCCTTCCGACGGACCCAGACGGCCCGAGAGCCCCCAAAGATCGCCCAAGAGGTCCCCAGTATAGCCCCAGAACGGCCCAAGAGGCCCCCATGACGGCCCCAAGAGGCACCCAAGACGGCCCAAGAGGCCACCAAGACGCCCAAGATGGCCTCCAAGACGGCCCTGGAGCACCCCAAGAGGGCCACAAGACGGCCCAGAGAGGCCCCCCAAAACAGCTTCCGACGGCATCAGACGCGCCAGGAGCCCACCAAGACAGCCAAAGAGGCCCCCGAGAAGCCCCCAAGACGGCCAAAGAGCCCACCAAGACGACAAAAAGATTCAAGAGGCTCCCAGGAAGCTCCCAGGAGGCCCCAAGAGTGTCCCCAGAGGCTCCCAAGATGCCCCCTCCTCCTCCTCCCTCCTCCTCCTCCTCCTCCCCCTCCTCCTCTTCCTCCTCCACCTCCGCATCCTCTATATCTTCCCCGCCATCCTCCCCCAAGTGTTCCCCGAAGGGTTTCCACAACGGTTGGGGGAACACATGTCCCGATACCTCGGCAGAGCTTTTGCCACAACGCTCCCAAGAAGCCTCATCCTTCTACTTTTCCTCTTCCTCTTCCTCTTCCTCTTCCTCTTCACTTTCATTGTCCCCCACGTATTCCCCGAATGCTGTCCAAACCGACTCGGGGAACTCATGGTCCGATAGCTTGGCCAAGCCTTAGCCCAACTATCGGCCACGTAGGCGTTTCCACAAAAGGCAGGGGGCGGCTGTGATTCGCCGTAGGCATCTTCGATCCGCCGCCCCCTGTTGATTCATCACAGGGGTGCCCGACGTGCTGAATCCTTTCGCTTTTGGCTTCGATTTTTTTTCCAAAAGAACTCCCCCTGGGGGTTCGGAACCGCCCGCCGGGGTCCTGGAATTTCCCGGAAAGTGTGGTTCCAAAAGTTGTTCCTGCTCCAGATGGCCCCAAGATGAATTCCAAGATGGCCAAGATGGCCCAAGATGGCCTCCAGGTTCGCCCAAGATGGTCCAAGATGATGGCCTCCAAGACGGCCCAGGAGAGTCCAAGATGCCTCCAAGTTCGCACAAGGAACCTCTCTGACGGCCCACGACAGCCCCAGAGGCCTCCAAGAGGCCTCCAAGAGGCCTCCAAGACGGCCCAAGAGGCCTCCAAGAGGTCCTCACGAGAGCCCGAAGAGGTCAAAATCAATGTTCGACCTAGGTTTTCGAAAGATTTTGGCGTTTGTTCTTTTCGAGCCTTCCGACGGCTCACGACGCCCCAAGGAGCCCGCAAGTCCGCCCCCACAGCGCCCAAGAGGCCTCCAAAATGGCCCTATGACGGCCCAAGAGGCCCCGAAGAAAGAGGGCGCCAAGACTGCTCCAGAGGCCTCCAAGACGCCCAAGACGGTCTCCAACACGGCCAAGATGGCCTCCAAGATGCTTCCAACCCGCCAGGGCCCCAGAAAGGACCGGAGATTGCACATGTCAGTGCCTGTCCCGCTCCAAGACGGCCCAAGGTAGCCTCCAAGACGGCTCAGATGGCCCGAAAGGGCCCTCAAGTTCGCCTAAGATGGTCGAAGATGGCTTCCAAGACGGCTCAAGAGAGCTCAAGATTCCTTCAAGTACGCCCGAGAAGCCTCCAAGACGGCCCAAGACGGCCCAAGAGGCCTCCAAGAGGTCCTCCAGGAGGGCTCGAAGAGGCCAAATTCATAGATTGTCCTCAGGTTTTTGAAGGATCTTGGTATTTGCTTCCTTCTCGGCATTCCGACGGGTCAAGGAGGCCCAAGAGGGCCCCCAAGATCGCCCCAAGATCGCCCACGAGGCCTCCAAGATGGCCCCATGACGGCCCAAGAGGCTCCCAAGACGGCCCCAAGGGGGCCGCAAGAGGCCTCCAAGACGGCCAAGATGGCCTCCAAGACGGCTCGGTTGGCCCCAAGATTCCTCCAAGACGACCCATGATGCACAAAAAACAACCTAAAATGACCTCAAGACGGCCCAAGACGGCCCAAGAGGCCCCCGAGAGGCCTCCAAGACGGCCCAAGAGGCCTCCAAGGGGTCCTCCAAGAGAACCCGAAGAGACCAAAATTATCGATTTTCCCGAAGTGTTTGAAGGATCTTGGCCCAAAAGGGCCCCCAAGATCGCCCCAAGATCGCCCACGAGGCCCCCAAGATGGCCCCATGACGGCACAAGAGGCCCCCAAGACGGCCCCAAGGGGACCCCAAGAGGCCTCCGAGACGGTCAAGATGGCCTCCAAGACGGCTAAAATGGCCCCAAGATGCCTCCAAGACGGCCCAAAAATGTCGAATCAGATGGCCTCAAGATGGCCCAAGACGGCCCAAGAGACCCCCGAGAGGCCTCCAAGACGGCCAAAGAGGCCTCCAAGAGGTCCTCCACGAGGACCCGGAGAGACCAAAATCAGTTAGTTGCCCAAGGTGTTTGAAGGATCTTATCTAGTAGGGCTCCGCTCTGGAAGTTTTTTTCAAGACAGCAAAGTTTGTCCCGAGAAACGCGGCACGGAGACAGCACACAGAGCGAAGCGACACGGGCAAAACTGGCTGGCCTCGAGGAGGCAAACACCGAGCAGGCCCCCCGACACAATAAAGGCAGGAGTCCCAAATCACTCCCGAAACAGGTATGTGTTTTCTGGCTAGAGACGGACACTGACACTGCGACAAGATCACGTCACAAGCTTTTCGGAGACGGTTCAGCTACTTTAGTCCACGGAACATGTCTGGCCGGATGAGGCCCTGTCACTGATGTGCGCTGAACCCGAATACGAGCAGACCCCACGTCCGTGGCAAAGGCGGCAAGTCGGACGCTGAATCGCGCTGGCAGGAACGCTACCGAATAACAAGTGAGTCCGCTTGCGCCATCTTGTTCCATAACTGCAGAAATCTCGCGTCGCCTCACAGACGCGCAGAGTCACACGACGGCGAAGCGCGGGGATTTTCCACAGCATACTGCTATAAGGATTCTCGAGAAGCGATGGGACTTGGCAAGCGTCTAGGTTTCTGCTAGTGTGCAGCGTTGCAATGTTACCCTAAGAAGTCTGTCACCACGCGCAAGGGCGGTTTGGTCCTTATCACTGAAGCTGGATATGTCCACCACTCCCCAGGACTTGTCAGAAGTACGAACGAAACGTGTCCACATCCGAGCAATTGAGAAGTTAGTACATTCACGGCGCTGCATATTGGGATCTGCAAGGTCGACACGCGAGTCATATGGGATATCCCACAATCGGGCAGCATATCCACGATGAGACACAGCCCTGCCGACGCCGCCATCACCGAAGAAGAAATCCGCAAAATACGGGCGGCGCCCCACGCGGTCTGGAACGGCGCGGCGACCGCGCGACCGAAGAAGAGCGCCGCCAAGCGCTCGACGGCCCTTTTGAACTCCGCGGCCAGCCAGGGCCCCGGCAGCAGGCGCGCCGCCGACACGTTCAGCCTGGCGGCGGCGATGGGGACTCTCGCACTGCCACCTGCTCCTCTCCTTCAGCTCGAGGTGGTCGCGGTGGCGGCACTGGCACAGCGCGAGATTGCCCAGCTGCAGCCCCTCGCGCGCCCGGCTGAACTCGGTCGCGAACTTGCGGTAGCTGCGCTGGAAGAGCCGAGACTCTGGAGCTCCGCGCGCCAGGGCTGCGGCCGCCATCGGCAGCCATGGGTATATCTAGCATGTCAGGTCGATGCCCTCGCCCTGAGTCTGGTCATTCCTCGCGGCCGCTCTCGCGCCAAGGAAAAGGAGCACGGCACAGTCGCTCGATCCGCCCTCCACTGGCGGGATCAAATCCTGAGGCTGAATTGTCGAGGCCCCCCCAGGCGCGCGGGAAGTCACAGTGGTCAGCACGGTGCGAAGTCTCATCCTCCAGTGGCCGCGGCAGCAAGGGCCCCACGCCACGGCAGACCAGATCATGCGCACGACTGGGTTGCGCGACCGCCGCCCATAGCGGCGCCTCCACCCCTGGAGGCCGCGCCAGGCCCCGGGGAGACGAGACCCCCCCCCCCCCAGCTTCCCACGCTGCGGCTGGGAATGCAACAGCGCCGACAGGAGAACGCCCCCTCTGTTGGAGTTGTGTCCAGCTCCGTAGACTTCGCTCATGTGGAGCACGAGCGCAGCGTCCACCTCGCTGTCCGCGACGAGCGGGCGTTCTCCCGCGGCCTCCACGAAGGCCTGCAGCTCCACCTGGCACTCGGTCTCCGCCCCCTGTCTCACCGCCGAGCGCTCCGGGGGCGAGAGGCCCGCGAGCGTGGGGGGCGCTCGCGCCCCGGCCACGGCGGCGGCTCGGAGCTTTGCCGTCGGGCGCAGCTGGCGAGTCCGTCGGCCCTCGATCTCCGCGTCGGGATCCTCGGTGGCATCGCTCTCGCCCTCGCTGTCTCCAGTCTTGTCCCCCACCGCCTCCAGGCCGTCGAAGTCGTTCTTCGCCGCGGACGCGGGTTGCTGGAGCCAGATGGGCGCCCGCGCTGCGGGGGGGCCGAGCGAGCACTGCCGCCGCGCAGGCGGCGTCGCCTCCGCCAGGCTGGCGGCCAGCGCCCGCGGCGCGGGCGACAGCACCCGCGAGCGCCTGGCAGGCCGCTCGGGCACGCCCAGCGCGGGCACGCTGCCTCCGCCCTGCCCCGGCGCCAGCAGCCGGCGGCCCCGCGAGGGGCTCATCGCGCAAGCCCCCCGCCAGGAGGTCGGGGCGCCAAAAGGGGCCCCCCCGGCAGCCGAGGCGGTAGCAGCGTCGAAGGCGCGCTTGCGGAGGGGTCCAGCATCTCTGATAACTTCGGGGCTCGAGGCTCTCGTCAGGGCGCAGGTCCGAGGGCCCCACGGCCCTAGTAGGGGAAGCTCTGCTGCTTCTTGTTGCAGTAGATGGGATTGCCCTGCTGCTGGTGCCGCTGCATGCCGCAACGAAGCTGTTGTCCTGCTGGTTGCTGCACTTGCTGTCCTCATTCGTGTCCTCTACGATCATGCTCTTGCTTTGCTCGAATACGATATGCTTGGATAGTTATTGCCGTTAACCTCTGCGTTGTACTGCTGGGTTGCCAGCTGAGGTTGTCTACGGTTCACGGCCTTGTCGTCGCGGCCCCACAAGCGCTCCCAAAAAATAAACCAAGGTGTTCTTCGGGTCATAGTTAGGGTCACACAGCCTGGAGCCCCCATCGCTCGGGCTGAGCTCACTCGGAACCATCTCACGTGAAGACGCTTGTTCAGGGCGAGGCATAGGGCGACAGCCTGGCGTATACAAGAAAGGGCAATAAAGCGTTCGGCCCTCCGCCACTCGAAGCATAGCACTGCGGGCAGGTTGTCGCTCATTGCCACAACGCGCTCGCCCTCCCGCGGCGAGAGACTGAACTGAATCTCGACGACGCGCAGACTGATGAACAAGAATGCGTTCCGTCGCGTTGCGCCACTCGCGGGCGCCCCACTCTGTCCAGCGGGATCCCGAGGAGATCTCCACCGCCATCTCCTTGAATGTCTTATCCATGCCTCACTCGACTTGCGGCTCGATCTGATCAGTATCCTCAAACTCAGCCACTGGCGCGAGGGCCCCCTCACTCGTCATCACGATGCCATTCGTCGCGAAGAGCTGCGCCCGAGCTGAGTGACCACCCAGGCGGCGAAATCTCGATCGCTCCTGCACGCGGCCGATCCCCTTCACGGCCTCCTGCTCGAAAATCGAAGCACCCACCGCGTAGCCGTGCTCCGACGCGTCGGACAAGCACGCCAGCGGGCTCTACGGCATCGCCCAGTCCCCCCGCAGCAGCGGCATCACGCCTCTGAAGGCCACCAATTACGCCCGCGCGGTTGGCCACAAAGGCGCCGCTAGGCAGTGGTTGGCAGCGATGAACTTGTAGATGGCACTGAACACTGACAGCACGTCGCGGTTGCACATGGCACAATAAGTGCAGCGGCCGAGCACGATCTCCCAGGCCCAGCCAGGAAGCGCGCGGCAGCCCAGCGCCCAGTCGAGCCCGCGGCGGACCCGCCAGTAGCGCTTGGCCGTCGGCCGGGTGGCCATCGCCGCGCTGCCCAGCACGCAGCCCAGCGCCTCGCCGATGCCCAACTAGATTTCCGTCTCGCGCGCGCGGAGGCCCGCCGCGTCGAAGCGCCCAATGGCCGCGCCCAGCCCAGCAGCAACTTCCGCCTGGTTGAAAACCAATACTCCCAGGCTGCCCACGTAGGTACACTGGGCGCCACCTCCACGAGAGAGAGGGGCGGTCGGGTGCACCTCCGCGGCGGGCCCGCGCTCGGTCATCCGGGGCACCTGACTGAGCGCCGGGGTATCCTGCATCACGGGCTCGCCCAGCTCCTGGCGGAAATACAGCGACCAGGTGAAACCCATGGGCAGCGCCGCGCAGGCGGGCACCAGGAGGTGCTCGGCCGCCAAGGGTTCGCCGTCCAGGATGGAACCAGCCATGCCCAATGCCCACCTCGTGCGCCTGCACGGCCCGCAGACAGGAGAAGGCCGACAGGCCCCTGTCGATCCCGAAACGATGGAAGGCGTCGCTGATGTCTGAGGTGCCCAGCGCGAAGCCTGTGCCGGCAGCTTCTCGGCCACGGGAGTCGAGCCCCTCTTCGAGGCGAGCCAGGCCCTCCTCGGCCACCAGAGACCCTCCTGGAGGCGAGGTAACATGCAGGTTGCTCCTCCTCGCGTCGATGATGAGGCGAAGCTGGCCGCTCTTCCTGGCCGCGAAAAACATCCCGACCTCTTCGCGGCGCCCGGTCTCATCCAGGAAGGTCAGCACGCCCTTGGAGCAGAGAAGCTCGACGAGGCGCACGCACAGCCTGCGATTCCGAGCGACTGAAGGGCCTAAGAAAGGAACGATGTCACATCGATTTACACGATGGCAAAGGCTCTCCTTATCAAGAGGCATCCGAGAATATCCGTCTTCGAGAAATGGCCTGCATGGGCCAGTGCGATCTCTAACAGCCGCGGCACTCCCACCGCAGTCTTAGGGATTGAAACATGCCCCACATTGCGAAGACGCCCGACGTTCCATCCGGCCGACTGGTCATGGACACTGCGGCCGTGCAGCCCCAGGGGGGGGGGCCGCGGTCTCCAGCGGCGGCATGCTCTCGGCGATGCAGTCCAAGATCCGCGCGTGCACCCTCATCTGGTCAAAATTGGGCAAGCTGCCACTGACCTCACGGTTGGCCGACCAATTCAAGGCATCCACGACATCGTTGAAATCATGACGAGCTCGCCTGGCGAGCTGCGCAGCCCAACGGCCCTGGAACCGCGCGTCGTCGAACGCAGCGTCGCCCAGCCTCGGCAGGGGGAAGAGCGTCAGCAGATCCACCCCGACTTCACGCTTGGGCTTTGCGCTACCGACGGGTCGCCCACCCCCGTCGGCGGAGAACGTCACCCTCCCTCGGGCGCGGTGAGCTTGCCACCGCGCACGCCGTAACCACGTCCTGCCGCTCCAGCGCCCCCGCGACCGCCAGCTCCGCGCCCGCCAGCGTCGCGTCCTCGGCCGCGCCCACGGCCTCGGCCGTCGGCACCGGCATCGGCAGCGGGCAGGCCCTCGCCTGCCTCCAGCGCCAGCGGGCTGGGCGGCGGCACACCTGCCGCGCGACCCCCCCAGCTCTCCAGCTCCATCTCCTCCCTGTTGCGGGGGCGGAACACCGCCGCGCGCAGGGCGGGGTCGATCGCGCCCATCGGGCGTGCCACGCCCATGTAGTGCCGGAGGCCGCCCCACTTCGGAGGCTGGGTTGGGCCCCCCGAGTAGGCCTCCAATCTGCGACACTCTGCGACACAGCACCTCGATGCTCGCCACGCTAGCCAAGTTGATCTGATCGTAGCTCCCAGCGTAGTATATCGAGGAGAGCAAGCGCTTCATCTCGACGCAGGCGCGGCCCGCCGAGGTCAGCAGCCGATCTCGCGCCCACAGTTCAAGCCAGAGCAGCGGAGTCCCGCCACTCTGGTCCCACTTCTTGAGCATGTGCTCCACCGTGGAGAGGCCGTCCTCGATGGGGCCAATCCGGGAACGCGCAGCGCCTGACCTCGCGAACGACCTCTCGCCAAGGACGTCCTCGCCAGCGTCGGCCACGGGCGCCACCTCGGGGGCGGCCCCCCCGAGCCTGCCCCTCAGATCCCGCTCGCCAGCCCCCAGGTCGGGAGCCTCGACAGCGGGCCGCGAGGCGCCCGCCAGGCCGCCCAGGTCAGCACCACGGCGCCGCGCAGCTACGTCGCCCTCCAGCAGCCTGATGAGCTCCTGCGGGCGGCTGTCCCTGTAGGCGTCGACCACCCCGATGCGGACCGCCTCCGCCAGTTGCCACACGGAGCCGCCCCTGATCATCGCGCGGGCGTGGTCCAGCCGCGCACTTCCATGCTCCAGGGCTACCTCCGTGCCGACAGGGATCCATCCAGGCGAGCCGATCACCCAGGCGCAGCCCTCGGGGGGCTCGACCGAGGCAAAGGTCGTGATGATGACGTCGGACCCAGGTGGAGGTGCGTCCAGCAGCGGCTCAGCCTCTCGTGGCGTCGAGGTGCCGCCCACTGCCTCCTCGCTCCTTCGCAGTGCCAGCCGTCGGCGCGCATCTGAGAAAAGACGCACCGTCCCGCCCCAAGTCAACATCTCCTCGGGGTCGGCGACCGCACCTCCAGCAGCGTGGCGCACCTGATCCGACCGCGAGGTGATCACCAGGCCTTTGAAGTGCTGCCAGCCGACGGGCTCCGGGAACCGGTAGAAGGCACCGTGGGCCAGAGCGGGGGCCGTCCCGTCTGGCGCGCACGCGAAGGCCCTGTTGCGGCCGTCGCCGACGGTGCCCGTGACGTCCTCTGCGTACCTGTTCAGATCGGGCGTGAGGATCCACCAATATGTCACTCCCGCAGGATACAGTAGGATGCGTTCGTGCCACACGGCATCCCGCGGATACCACAGCCCCAACAGCAGGCCAGGTCGCAACTCGCTGCACCACTCCCCCACCTCGGCGCTTGTGCCGTCCGCCCGCACGACTGTACGACCTCCTCGGCGCCGACGAAAAAGAGCCAGCATGGCGGCCGGTGGACGCAGCGCAGCAAGAGCCCACCAGGATCACGAACTCGCCCGCGGCGAGCCCCCACGCCAGCACCGCGCCTGGAGAAACCTCTGGCGCCACGGCTGGGCCGGCCCCGGGCGGCGGCTCCGCCCCTGGAGGGCCAGCAGGGCCCGTGGGCGGCAGCCGCTCCAGCAGCGCCGCTGCCACCGCCTCAGCCGAGGGGCAGGTGGCGGGTGCCGGGGAGCCGTTGGCCAGCCACGGCCCGACCCCCTCCACCACCGCGGCCGCCACGGCCTCCGCGCCCAAGCCAGAAGGCGGCGGCGGCGGAGGCGGTGGCGTGGACGGCCAGGCGGGCTGCTGGCACACGCAGCCGCAGGCCCGCCCAAGCTACGGGGGCACCCACCGTGGCGCTCACCGCCAAGGTCGTGCCAGCGCCCAGGGCCATGGCCCGGACCCCGCTCATGCACTTGAGGGGAAGATATCGCGGAACCCCAATACAATTCCATGGGGAGCACTCCAATGGCATTTGCTCTTTTTCGGCATTCCGACGGCTCAAGGCGGCCCAAGAGGCCCCCAACATCGACCCCAAGATCGCCCACGAGGCCTCCAAGATGGCCCCATGACGGCCCAAGAGGCCCCCATGACGTCCAAGATACTCTCCAAGACGGCCCCAAGTCAGTTCAGAGAGGCCCCCAAAGCAGCTTCCGACGGTGTCAGACGGCTAGGGAACGCCTAAGACGGCCAAAGAGGCCCCCAAGAAGCCTCCGAAGGCCCCCAAGAAGCCCCCAAGAGGCCCAGGGAGGCTCCCAAGAGGCCTCCAAAAGGCTCCTAGGAAGCTCCGCAGAGGCCTCCCAAGAGGCCTCGCAAGACGATTCCAAAGAAGTCTCCTCCTCCTCCTCCTCCTCCTCCTCCTCCTCCTCCTCCTCCTCCTCCTCCTCCTCCTCCTCCTCCTCCTCCTCATCATCTCATCCTCATCCTCATCCTCATCCTCATCCTCCTACTAATCATCATCCTCATCCCTCTCCTGATCCTCCTCCTATTGCTCCCCCACGCGTTCCCCGAAGGCTTTCCAAACCGACTCGGGGAACAACTGGCCCGATAGTTTGGCCAAGATCTAGCTGTCGGCCACATAGACGCTTCCAAAGGGGCAGGGGGTGGCGGTGATTCGCCGCAGGCGTCTGCGATGCTTAGCCTGGCGAAAGACCACGCGATGCTGGACACTGTCTGCGCCTGTAGGTCACCAGTGCTGCTCAGCAGCCGCTCCGAGAGCGCTGCGATCAGCGGGCGGTCGTGCACGAGCAGCTTCGCGTAGGACCACGCGATGTTCGACATGTGCTGCTGGGAGTACTCGCGGATGCGCAGCAGCGACTCGGCAGAAATCGCTGCCAGCAGGGGATGGTGCGGAAACTCGCGGCGCGCGAAGGCCCACACGGTGTTGGCCTTGTCCTGCGCGCTGAACTGCGGCAGCCTGGCAATCGCAGCGGACGCCAGAGCCTCCAGCAGCGCCTGGTCGCGCCACTCCAAGGTTGCAAAAGCCCACGCAGTGTTGGAAATCTTCTGCGAGTGGAAGTCCGCAACGCGCGGGAGGGCAGCGGCCGCGATCGCGGCAAGTAGCTGCTGGTTCCTGACGAGCAGCCTGGCGCAAGACCATGCGGTGTTGGCCAGGTCCTGCGGCCCGAAGAGCGACATTCGCGCGAGGGCCGCGGTGGAGAGCGCGTCAAGCAGCGGCCCGTGGTGATAAGTCAGCCGCGCTAGAGACCAAGCAGTGAGCGAAACATCCTGAGGCTTAAAGTCGCCAATCCTGATGATAGAAGCCGCTGCAAGTGCCTCTAGAAGTGCCCTGTCGGCCACCTCAAGGCGGGCCAAAGACCAAACGATGCCCGCCAAATCTCGCCCAGTTCCACCGACTCCCGCTTGCCAGGAGCGACGAGGCGTGCGACCTGCTTGGCTGCCCCCTCGGGGGAGGGCGGGGGGGGCGGGGCGAGCTCGCCAACGCAGCTTCCAGGCCTTCACAGCCGCGCAAAATCTGGCTCGATTGTGCGTCAAGGAGCCCCAAGATTACCTCCAAGACCACCCAGCAGGGCCCAAGAAAACTTAGAACTGCCTTCACGACGACCCAAGCTGGCCCCCGTTGGCCCCAGTATAGTTAATCCCGCGGTGGCCCGGAAACCTCCCAAGCAGGCCCCAGAGACGCCCAAACCCAAATAAACGCTTGGGCAGATTCGATAAGGTTGGAGTTGCCGCCGTTGCTGGCCCCCAGGGGCCTAAGAATCCTGAAGATGGCTTCGAGGCGGCCAACGAGGGCCCGCAAGGGGCACAACGAAGCTTCAATTGTAGCCTCACAGGATCCGAATGTCCCAACGGAGCCCCAGTACAGGCGCAAGAGGGCCCCAGAGGCGCACTGAGGCAACACGCCAAAGGCATACCTTCCCATCGCTCGGAAGAAGCAGGTAGAAACATGAAGTAAGAAGGCGTTGAAAGTAGATTGGGTGTCCGCCCGCCCCCAAAGAGAACGGAAAAGGTGAAGCCACTCGATCATTCAAGTAGAAAGGCGCTTAAAGTAGACTGGGATTTAGGATTCAAAAAACAAAAACAAAAAAAACTACTTTCGAGGAGCGATGGGTACCCCTCGCCTGCTTCTCTGAACCTCCCCCTGGAATTCCTCCACCCCCCTTTGTCGTCGGCGAGATGGCGTGAGTCTTCAGGAGAGCAGCCCGAGCTTGCTCCGGGCAGCGGCGGAGAGGGCCTCGAGCAGCCCAGCGTGCTTCACGTCTAGTGCGGCGAACGCCCAAGACGTGCTGGTTACGTTCGGCCACGCGCAGAGGGGGGGAGGGGGAGGGGGGAAGGCTTCTTAGAAGCACCCCTGCGTCTTGAAAGCCGCGGGCCTTGTCTAGACATGTGAGGCCGGCGCCTTCTAAGAAGCAGCCTCCTTCTAAGAAGCCTTCCCCCCTCCCCCCACCCCCCTGTGCGCGCCGCCAATATGTCCTGAGGCGAGAACTCCGCTATCTTCCTGATCGACTCCGAGGCGATAGCATCCAACAGGGACCCGTCGGCCGCCAGCAGCTTGGCGAACGCCCAGGCCGTGTTCTGGAGATTCTACGCGTCGAACTGCGAGATCCGCTTGAGCGACTCGGAAGCGAGAGCTGCCGTGAGGGGCGCGTCAGAGAAGGCGAGGCTCGCAACCGCCCAGGCCGTGTTCGAGCAGTGCTGGGGGCTGAAGTCTCCAATCTGCTCGCGCAGCTGGCGGACCGCCCTCACGAACTCGCCGTCGCTGCAGACCGCCCGCCCGTCAGGAGCCTTCGCGACGCGGTGCACAGCCGTGACGGTGTTGACGAGGTCGAACTCGGCCGAGTGCTGCGCGCACACAGCCAGCACCTCTCGGCGACAACGAAGCGTGTGGTCTGCAAAGGGTGTGGCTTGCAACCGGCACCCTGGGGGGCGGGCGGGGACCTCGACAGAGTTCCCCGCCGCGCCCCAAGGAGGCCCGACGAGGACAGTGTCGTGCCCCCCAGGCCCCAACGGCTCCGATCGCAGACACCCCGGCGTAACTATTCCCCAATCAGTGCTTGCACTGAAAGGGTCCTAGCGGAAGTTGAAAGATTTGGCGAAAGTTTCCAGCAAATTTTGGTGGCAGGCTGGGTTCCCGGGTTTCCGGTTCCGGGTTCCCGGGTTCCTGGATATTGGTTCTGGGTCGACTTCGGTTGGTTCCGGGTTCCCGGACGCCCGGGTTCCTGGTCGATCTCCTCAGCGAAAACAATCGACTGATTGGGGCTCTTCTCTGGTGTACTACCATTTATGGTCGCCCCACTAAGCATGGGGCAAACGGGTCCTAAGGGAAGCGGGTCCTGGACCCCAGGGCCTCCCCCCAGCACGGGATCTTCGTCCCGAGCCGTTCCCTGACTAGGGGGCCACATGCGAACCCTACCCCTACCCCCCACGATTTCTGAGGGGGAGGGTGGGGTTCACTTCGCTCGAGAGCTCCCGAGCGAAGTGAACCCCACCCTCCCCCTCAGAAATCGTGGGGGGTAGGGGGTAGGGGTAGGGTTCGCATGTGCCCCCTACTGACAGCCCTGGGGCCCGTGGAGTCAGGGACCCAGGAAGCCAGAAACGCGGCGGACAAAAACCTCAGGGCCCCCTGCCCCAGTGGCGCTCTGCCGTCGCCGACACCTCCCTCGCTCCGCGGCTGGCGGTGAGCAGCCGGTTGAGCTGGGCGTGGCGCGTCTCCTCTGCCGGCCGCGGCCGCGACGCGGGGCGCTCGGCGGGACGCGGCCGCGGCGCCACGGCCTGCGCAAAGAAGCCGGAGTAGAAGGACTGCTGCTGCGGCGGGGCCCCCGGAGGCGGCCCGTCCTCTGCCATGCTGCCTCGCGCGGCCGGGGACGCGCCCGGGGCCGCGCCCGGGGCCCCTGGGTGCAGGGCTGCCCTGGGCCCGGGCTGCTCCCTCCCCCTCCTCCTCCTCCTCCTCCTCTTCCTCGTCCTCCTCCTCCTCTTCTTCTTGTTCTTAGTATTATTGTTCTTCTTACTCTCCTCATTATTATTATGATGATTATTATTCGTATTATTATTAGCATTAGTATTATCAGTATTAATATTACTCTTATTATTATTATTTTATTATTAGTATTATTAATATTAGTATTATTCTTAATATTATTATTAGTAGTATTCTTCTTCTTGTTAATAGTAGTATTGTTCTTAGTCGTGTTGATATTATTGTTCTTCTTATTATTAGTATTATTATTATTACTATTGTTCTTAGTAGTAGTATTATTATTAGTATTAGTATTACTAGTATTATTAATAGCATTCGTATCCTTATTATTGTTATTAATCGTCTTCTTATTCTTAGTCTTAGTATTACTATTATTAGTAGTCTTTTTATTATTATTACGAGTAGTAGTATTAGTATTAGTATTCGTAGCATTAGTAATATTAGTATTATTGTTAGTATTAGTTGTGTTAATGCTGCTAGTCTTATTATTATATTGATTATTATTATTAGTAGTAGTATTAGTAGTATTCGTATTAGAATTAGTAGTGTTAGTATTATTAGCATTATTCTTCTGATCATTACTATTATGTTTAGTGTAATGATTCGTCTGTCTCTTCTCATTATTCGTATTATTCTTATCATTATTATTCGTAATAGTACTACTATTATTCATAGTCGCATGTTTATTCTTCTTATTCGTACTAATTGTTGCTATTAGTTGTATTACTAGTACTATTCTTATTATTGTTATGATTATTCGTCTTCATATTATGATTATTATTCGTCTTATTAGTATTATTATTCATGGTATGAGTATTATTATTATGTTTCGTTTTCTTCTTATTATTATGATTACAATTATTATTAGTATTATTCCTCCTCCTCCTCCTTCTCCTCCTCCTCCTCTTTCTCCTCCTCCTCCTCCTCCTCCTCCTCCTCCTCCTCCTCCTCCTCCTCCTCCTCCTGCACGAGCCTGCACGCAAGCCCAGGTCAGTGCATCCCCGGCTCTGCAGGATCATGCAAGATCCGGCGCTCTGGCCGACCCCCGTTTGCATTGGCCCTCGTCTCAAGGCTCCCGAGGCCCGCGCTGTTCCCGCGCGCCCCGAGCAGCGGGTCCCCAGACCCATCCTGGCAACGATGCTAGGAACATTGCTCCAGGGGAGGCCAGCTCTTCGCGAGGGGTGGGGGGAGGAGGAGAAGACTTTGAGGGAGGGAGGAAGGGAGGGAGGAGGGGATGGGGGGAGGAGCAGCAACGAGGATGGAGGGGGGAAGAGAGAGCATGAAGGAAGGAGGAAGTGCAGAAAAATGGGGCGCAGGAGGATGGAGAGAGGAGATGGAGGGGGGAAGCGAGGAGGAAGGAGGGAGGACGGAGGAGGGAGGACGGGGGAGAGAGTGGAAGAGAGTCATTCTGAAGGAGGACTAGCAAAGACCAAAAGAGACGCAGGACGAAGGACAGAGAAGGATGAAGAACTAAGGACGAAGGACTAATGACAAAGCACGAGGTGAGAAAAGAGCAAGAACAGATCTCGGCAAATCACCCTGAAGCAGGATGCGAACTCTTCGTGCGCGGATCTCGCAAGCTCCACAGACTTGGGTGCACCGAGGGTGGAGGCTCTGACATTGCGGGGCCTGGAATTGCCAGAATCCTGCGCCCCTGCCAGTGTCTGGACTGCTAGGCATGAGATGGGGGAGACATGGAACTTGGCGGCGCGCTCGAGGCGGAAGTGAGAGAGGGCCGGCCTTCTCAGGAGGCGGCGGGGTGTCTCCGAAGCCCTCCAGCCTTCTGACAAGCCGTCCGTGGCTTCGGAGCAGGCTCAGGAAGCTCCTTGGAATGCCAGAGGACTCTGAACCTTCCGAGAGGGCCCGCCCCCTATCTGCCTTCCCCCCGGGCGCGCCGCCGCAGAATGGCAAGAGTCCCATGCCCCCGTCGCAAAGAAGCTGCGCACCTGGAGCACCTGGATGAAGGGGCCCTGGGACACACAAATAAATACACACAAATAAAATGATTCCCCATATTTTCTCATATTTTCTGGGTATTCGTCTTCCCGACCAATTCCCATACTTTCCCATATTTTCCTGGGACTCGACGATTAATTGTGTCTGTGTGTTTCTTTCCCTCCTGACTGGAGAAGGGGAGCCCCGCGCACCTCTGCCGCAGGAGCGGCGCCCCCTGGACCCTGGGGGACCCGGCACAGTGAGCATCCGAAGCCCAGCCCACGCTTTCTCTCCGAGCAGCGCTTGCACCTATGAACTCTTCCTCGTCTCCCCAAGGAACTAAGTCGTTGGATGCGGCGAAGACTCTCCACGTTGCCTCCCCTTGCCGCCCCGCTGCCGCCTGTGCAGCGTTGGGTGGGTCCGGCGAGGTCTCGCCACGTTGCTGCCTCGTTGCCAGCTTGCTCCCGCTTCGTGCGCAGGGTGGGCCCCACGAGGTTTCGCCACCTTGCCGCCCGTGGCAGAGGCCCCGCCGCCTTCTGAGAAGGCCTTCTCATCTCACTTCCACCCCCCCCGCTCGCCGCCGAAGCGAGAAGAGATGGCGGGGAAAGACCATGGAGCCAGAGGAAGTCAAGAGGCCCGTAAAGAGACACCAAAAAAAGCTCGATCATCGACGGCAACGACGACGACAACGACGACGAGGACGACGACGACGAGGACGACGACGACGACGACGACGATGCCGACCGTGGCCGCACTGTTGCCGCCTTGTTGCCGCCTCGTTCGCCAGGTGGGCCCCGCGAGGCTTCGCCGCGCGGCCGCCCCGCTGCCGCCTGTAGCGTTGGGTGGGCCCGGCGAGGCCTCGCCACCTCGCCGCCCCGTTGCCGCTGCGTGGCCGCCCCGCGGGCCCCTCGCACGCCGGGGGGGGTGTCCGGCGAAGTCCCTCGCCACGCTGCCGCCCGTTGGCCGCCTCGCTGCCGCCTCGCTGGCTGCATGCGTCCCGCGAGGCTCCTCCTCCTCCTCCTCCTCCTCCTCCTCCTCCTCCTCCTCTCCTCCTCCTCCTCCTCCTCCTCCTCCTCCTCCTCCTCCTCCTCCTCCTCCTCCTCCTCCTCCTCCTCCTCCTCCTCCTCCTCCTCCTCCTAGGGGGCCACGTGCGAACCCGACCCCTGCCCCCCTCAGAAATCGTGGGGGGTAGGTGTAGGGTTCGCACGTGGCCCCCGACTGATGCATCCACTGGCTCACACTGGGTCTCGGAGACCTGGAGCACTGAGACTCCGATGGTTGTCCCACGCTCTCTGGACCTCGGGTGGCCTGGAAGCGTGAGGATCCTGCGCCTCTGCAGCACTCTCTGGAAAGCGGGAAAGTTGGCACCAAGATGGCCACAAGATGGCCTCAAGATGTTGCCAATGTGGCACTGGGATGTCCTGGCATGGCCCACGATAGCCCAACGGATACCCTGATGGCCCCAAATGGCCGAAAATGTTTTCATTGCAGGCACTGAAAGTTTACTGTATAGTGTATACGTTATTACATATTATTGTTGTCCTCTCTCTCTCTCTATCTCTCTCTCTCTCTCTCTCTTTATACATAGAAATAAAATAAACGATTGGCGTTGCATGTTCTGTGTTGAGCCCTTTTCGCCTCTGCGGCCTCGACGGGATCTTGCGACCTGGAGGTGGCCCCGCCCAACGGAACCCCAGGCGAGCCCCATCCCTGCGGTTCGCCGCGGCTCGTGTTCCGACGGCCCCGAAGCCCGAGGCGCTTCTGAGAAGGCGGCCGCCTCGATGCGTTCGAGACTCCACGCGCGGTCGGTTGGAGGAGGGGGAGGAGGAGGAGGGAGGAGGAGGAGGAGGAGGAGGAGGAGGAGGAGGAGGAGGAGGAAGGGGAGGAGGAGGAAGGGGAGGAGGAGGAGGAGGAGGAGGAGGAGGAGGAGGAGGAGGAGGAAGAAGGGGAGGACGGGGAGAAGGGCCTGGGTTTGGGTCAGACAGGCAACGGCGAGGCAGCTCCAGCGCATGTCGGGTCTGCGCCACGATGACCTCGAAGGTGCCACGGTGCTCGGGGTCGTCGGAGATGGACTCCAGAGCCTGGGCGCCGAGCTGCAGGACGAGGGAGGCGCCGCAAAGAATAGAGCAGCTGCGAGGAGGAGAAGGGTGACGTGGGGGAGAAGGGAGAGGGGAGAGACGGAGGAGGAAGAGGCCACGCAGACAGGGCAAAGCAAGACAGCCGCATCGGAGCTCCGAAAATCACTGTCGGTCCAACTCGCAGAGGCAGGTGGCCCGTCGGGAACCGCCCGCGCCCGCGCGGCCCCACGCGCGCCGGGCGCCCCCCTCGCCTTGACGCACAGCCGCAGGGGGGCGCCCGATTTGGGCCCGGGAAAGGAAGTACGAATAGAGGCTGAGAACCGAAGGGTCGAACCTACCGTCGAATCCGTTGGTAGAGGGTGAGATGAGAGAGCGAGAGCGTCCTTTTCCCTCTCACGGCCCGATCATCGTCGGGCACGCTGTCTCATACCGCAGCCGAGAGGGTTGCAGGACGGATGGGTAGAAGGAGGAGCGGTCTTCACGCACAGGAACCACTCCGCCCCCCCCCCCTCTCGGACCACCCCGACGGGACATGACGAGGCCCTCTCGGCCTCGGGGGCGGAAATGAAGGGGCCCTGGGACACACGAATTAAGTACACGCAAGTAACAGGATTCCCGATAGTTTCCAGTATTTTCCGGGTTTCTGTCTTCCCCACCACTTCCCATAGTTTCCCATATGTTCTGGGTTTTTGTCGTCCCCCCCACTTCCCATATGTTCCTATATTTTCTGGGTCATCGACGATGAATTGTGTCTGTGTTTTTTTTTCCCTCCTGGGGACCCGAGACCGAGAGCTCCATGACTGCGCCGCCGCTCCCGCGGCCCCCGCGGCGGGCCCGGCCACGACCCCGCCCCC